GTGTGTGTGTGTGTGTGTGTGTGTGTGTGTGTGTGTGTGTGAGATTTTAAACAAAAACTTAAATCACACCATGTAATAAAATAGAGAACATAAATGACAACCAAGAAGATCTTAAAGAGGAAGACAGGTTACCTATGATGAAACAGTAAATCATGAGCATAGTTCAGGAAAGAGCCAAAGCTGAGCATGCCTTTAATTCCAGCACTCAGGAGGCAGAGGCATGAAGGTGGATCTCTGTGATTGCAAGGCCAGCCCTACACACAAACTGCAAGCCAGCCCAAGCTCCCCAGTGAGACCTTGTCTCAAAGAAAAAAAGGAGAAAACAAAAGGACAGAAATTCAATTAAGTCACATTTTCAAATGTGTTGAAACAGCTGGAAGCCTAGTGTCCAGCTAAACTGAAGATGAAATAAAGACATTTTTTAATAAAACAATGTTCACCATTAAGAGACACCCAGCCTTACCTCTCAATGCAGGAAATTTCTAAAGAAGTAACACATCGAATTCCACAAAAAAAGGAAAGAACGAAGTGCCAAAAAATGAAGAGACAAGCAGTAAGCATATGTGGACAATGAAATAAATACTAACAGCATAAAAACAGTATTACTAGGATTGCCGAGCTCCAGGAATCCCATCAATTGGAGAGAGGAGGGATTCTATAAGCAAGGGACATGGAGAACATGATGGGAAAATGTGCAGAAATGACCAGCCACACTAGTGGAAACCCATGAACTGTAGACCAATAGCTCTGGAGCCCCTTGGGACTGGACTAGGCCCTCTGAATACAGTTGTTTAGCTTGAACTGTTTTGGGGGAGGGGAGCAGGCAGGGGGATCTGTCCCTGGTGCATAAGCCCAGTGCCCTAAGGTGTGACACCTTGCATAGCTTTGGTGCAGGTGGGAGGGGCTTAGACCTGCCTGAATGTACCAGGCTCTGCTGACTCTCCATGGGAGACCTTGATTTGGAGGAGATGGGAATGGGGGGTGGACTGGGGAGGAAAGGTTGAGTGGTGGGTAGAGGGAAGAGGGGGGGGATCTGTGATTGGTATGTAAAATGAATGAAAATTTCTTAATAATAATAAAAAAATTTGTTACAAAAAAATATATTACTAGAATTGCTTGGGCTAGAGATGTGGTTCAGTGGTAGAAGGACCTGGAATGTACAAGGCCCTGCGCTTGTTCCCTAACACTGCAAAAAGAAAAATAAGAGGGCAGGAGGGAGTTCAACACTGAGATGGATTTTCACCTTTGGTAAGTTTCACTCTTGCAAATGCTCACTTTGAATCTGAACACTTAGTGTATAATAGGTCAACAACCTCAGTACCTTCTGACCATGTGTTCTTTCAAGACAGGGTTTCTCTGTGTAGTTTTGGCACCTCTCCTGGAACTCACTCTGTAGCCCAGGCAGGCCTCAAACTCAGAGATCCGCCTGCCTCTGCCTCCCGAGTGCTGGGATTAAAGGTGTGCGCCACCACCGCCTGGCTGACCATCTGTTCTTATCAATTAGACACAGATATCAAAACAGCCCTTGCTCTCAGCTGTTTAGGCATCCAAGGGTAAGGCTATGTCTGCATCCTAACAATTCTAGAACTCTTAGTTCAAGATATTTGTCCCACTTCTATATTTCATAAGTAAAAGAGAAACGTTTCTTAATGAGCTATCAGGTAAAATCTGAGCAAGTAGGACTGGCTTTAGACTAAGATTCAAGCATTATAATTAATTATCATTTGCTGGAACTTGGGTCAACAAAAGAATCCTTTGTGCTTCTTCCCCTAAAGGAGAAAACACCACACAAAAACACAACGTGGGACTGAAAGCTTCACTCGATCTGAACACACCGTCACAGCAGTTAAGATATACCCTTCCTTACACCAGGAAGGCTTCTCACCCTAACAGAGGAATACTTGACAAACCCAGAACTTTGGAAACAAAAGACTAAACCACAAAAACCAGACAGAGAGAAGTATGGATTAAAACAAGTAAGTAAATTATGTTTTCAGGAGGTAGTCTCATCCTCATTCCCCACCAAAAAAGGATAACTTTACTCTGAAATTAAAACAAATACTACTACCGGACTGGAGAGATGGCTCAGCAGTTAAGAACACTGACTGTTCTTCCAGAGGACAAGGGTTCAATTCCCAGCACCCACGTGGCAGCTCACAACTGTCTGTAACTCCAAGATCTGACAAAGTATCAATGCAAATAAAATAAATTAATTAATTAAAACAAACGCCACCAAAAAAATGGGCTAAGGATATAGTTCAGTAATAGAGTGCTTGCCTACCATGCACCAAAACAAAACAAACAAACAAAAGAACAAAAAGTTAGGTAAACTAGGCTTCTCTCTCCTTTCAACCCAAGAAAATACAACATTCCAAGGCACACAGTAATGGCCATGACATGCTCATATCTTGAGAAGCCATCAGGATGTAGTAACAAATAAGTCACTATCTAAAAGGACAGACAAATATAGAAAGGGATTCTAATAATACAGATGACAAGTGCGAGCACAGAGATAAACAAAAGAGAGTTACCCAGAGGACGCAGTAGCAACCCAAATGGGCTTTCTTTCACCTACAACCTTCCAACAGTCACATCACTTAAAATCTTAAATTTGAGCTACGCACGCCTTTAATCCCAGCACTCAGGAGGCAGAGGCAAGCGGATCTCTAGGCCAGCCTGGTCTAGAGAGCACGTTCCAGGTCAGCCAGGGATAAACAGAGAAACCCTGTCTTGAAAAACAAAACAACAAAAAGATCTTAAATTTGTATTCTCAAAGAAGGTGCTTGCAGAAACAATGTATCTGATTTACCCCTCACACCAAACCAAGAAGCAGGTAAGTCAGGGGGGTAAGTTCATTGTTCATATACAAAGGGCATCCCAACAGAGTCCCTTCCCATCATATGCTCAGCCCTCAAAAGTCCCAAATATAGCGAAACTCGTACCAGCTGTGCAACCCTTGCCAAGGTAAAACATTATAAACCCACCTGTAAAACATGAACAAGGCTATTAGGAAAATTAAAAATCAGATCCTCTATACCGTGCAACACAATATCAGAAACATAGTGGAAGCTAAGAGATGCCACTGCTGCTATCATTAATAATAAGCGAGCAACTGGCGTCACCGGACCCTCAGGTACAATCCTTTGGGTATTCCACAACCCCGGTTACCGCGGTCCTCAGCCATAATTTCACTGACAAGGCCCCAATCAGACCCACCCCCTCGAACATTCCTGGCTCCCACAAACCTGCCCCCCCCGCCCCACGTAGGGTCTCTTTTCACCCTCAGTTACGAAGGAGGCCTTCCTCTCGCACCGGAGTGGTCAGCACCCCCTCTAGGCCTGGCCATCACGAGGGCACCCAGGCCGCACGCCAGCCAAGGACCCGCGCCGGTTACCTGGCCGCGCACTGCTCCGCCACGCGCACGCCGGACCGCACTTGGCCTCGAGATATGTCCCGCACGGTGAAGACACAATTAGTTTAAACTATGGTCCCGCCCCCTCCCGCCGCCCTCTCATTGGCCCCGGCCGGCTGTTGTTAGCCGGGCACCTTGGAGGACCCGGGAAAAGGAAGTGCGAGGGCCACTCTAAAGGAAAAAGGGGTAATACTACTTCCGGATCCCGGTCTTGCCTTGAAGGTAACAAGAACAACAAATCCCAGCAAACCCCGAGGCTTCGGCGCCTGCCCCGACTGAACTACACGTCCCAGAAGGCGCCACGAGCACGCTCACGGCGCTGTCTGGGGCGTGATGACGAAGGTAGTTGCCATGGAGTTGCGCGGAGTAACCCTCAGGTAGTGGGACGCTGAGGCCGGAGGGTAAGAGACTGCGGGTGAGTTGGGCGGGAAAACAGGAATATCTTTCTAGGACACTAGCGCTCTCTGAAAAGGGAAGAACCCCATAAAAAGAGTAAGAACTTCCCCAATTGGGGACCTGAGATTCTCCCCAAACACTCATCCCTGGTCACGGTGAACACAACACTCGAGATGAGCTGGGGGACTATGGTATCATACCCATACATCTTTTGGCACCTCAGCCCAAGCATGGCGCTTCCCCAATATGGGTGCCTCAAGTCCCAGACACAGGGAAATGAGAAACGCCCTCGGGCATGGTGTTGGTTTTCCTCTAGGGAACCAGAACTTGTTTAACATGACACATCAGAGTAATTCACAGCCCTTAATTCTGGAAATGAAGAAAAGGTCATGGGGCTTAAAAGTCCCCTTTTCCTTACTCATCCAAGCAAGACCTTTTTCAAGGAATCAGCGGGTTCCTCCCATCCACACGCGTATGAGTTTGTCTGTAAATTAGCCTTTTCCTCCTACATCCCTGCCTGGTGGGCTTCTGAAAGCTACAATTTAGATCTTCATTTCTTCTACATTCCTCATGACAGATTTAGTAACTTCTCAAGTTCTTTTACACACTCTTTTTCTATTAAAACAGACCCCATGAGTCAAGGATATTTATTCCCATTCCACAGATTGAAAAACTGAAACCCAGAGATAAGTGACTTGCCCAAGATCACACACCACACCAATGACAAAACTAGAAGTAGATTCCAGTTCCTTAAGGTCAAACTATCTTTCTTTAGCTTGACTTGGCTGCATTTATAGCAGCTTGTACTTGTCTCAAAGATTATGTTAAACTGCCTGAGGGAAAAAGAACCTGTATGACCATCTTGAGTTATTTACACTTCAACCTGAATGAGTTTCAAATCCCTCCTTGAAATGATTAATGAAGAAAGGAAACTAGAGACTGAAACAATGGGAATCAAATGCATTTAAACTAAGCAAGAAACAGCTGCCAGGATACCTGAGGTCTGAAACTGCCGTGATTCACTGGCCCTGATTGGTCTCTTATTATTTTAAAGTTTCTCTGGGGTTAGTCTGTTTCTCCACTCACTATAACCTCTTCTTAGTGCTCATCAACACCCACACCTTTATTTACCACCTGCATATCTCCAGCCAAGCCTTCATCTTTTAAGTTCCAGATCTGTATAACCAGTTGTGTCCCTAACATCTCCTTCAGGATGTATGTGAGGCATGTCAACTTCACTGTTTCTCTATGCACTCCAACCCTCTCTTCCAAACCTGGGATTCATACAGTAATCCTACAATGTATACAAACACCCAAGTGTTACTCTTAGTAACTCTTACATTTCTAATATAGTCCACTTAATACCTAGAAGTCTCTTCTTGTTCGAGAATTTTATACATGCATATAAGCATATAATGGTTTTGATCAAATCTACTTTCCTGCATTGCCTCACCCTTAGGCCCCTAAATGTCTTTTTTTTTTTTTTTTTTTTTTTTTTTTGAGACAAACTCACAGAGCTCCACCTGCCTCTCCCTCCCTAAGTGCTGGGATTAAAGTGCTGGGATTAAAGGTGTGCACCACCATCCCTAGCTAAATGTCTTTTTTAAATTGGTGGTGGTGGTTTTTGTTTTTCTGAGAAAGCTTTTCTCTGTGTAGCCTTGGCTATCATGGAACTTACTTTGTAGACCAGGCTGCCCTCGAGCTCACAAAGATCCACCTGCCTCTGCCTCTCAAGTGCTGGGATTAAAGGTGTGGGCCACAACCACCTGACTAAAATACTCATTTTTACTATTTTATGTGTGTCACATAATAACTTTACTACTATTTTATGACACACATAAAAATAATAAAATGTGTGTATGATACATGTGAGCAAGAGCCCTCAGAAGCCAGAATAGAGCATCTGGTCCCCTGGACCTGGAGCTACGGTGGTTATGAGCTACCAGTGTGGGTGCTGGGAACCAAACTTTGGCTCTCTTCAAGAGCAGCATGTGGTCTCTGATGAGCTCTCTCGCCAGCCCCACTATTGTTTGTGTTGCTGTTGTTGTTTTTCTTTTAAAGACTTGGCCTTCCTTTGTCGCCCAGGCTGTCCTCAAATTTGTGATCATCCTGCCTCTGCCTCCTAAGTGTAAATAATTTTTACTCAGTCCTAGCTACCATGCTGCATTCCCTTCTACTTTGCATACTTCAAAAATATTAAGTAAAAATTTGATACTGTTCACTCTCCTTACCCCCAAATTATTATACATCCTGTGGCTTCCTGCTGTTTTTAGAAAAAGGAGCATCTCAGGGTGGCTTCTGCCCACCTCTCCAGCCTGTACTCTAACCATACACACCTTTTTCCATTCTAGTTTGGGTCACTTTAAGGTATTCCAAATTTCTGAGTTCACACTAGAACATGCCGCCGTGGAGCCTCGGCCTTTGCCCACAGTGAGAATGCTTGTCTTTTTCCTCGAGGGAAGTGGGTTGTGAAAGTAAACCCAGCGCCTCATGCATGTTAAGTACGCCTTGTGTCTCAGCTATATCCCACGCCCTGGGATGCTCCTCTTTTCCTCTGTTGTTCTGTTCTTTTTGCCGTACTTACCCTTCAGCGGTCTCTCAATCCCTCAGTTCTAGTGCCTACTGTCCTCTATCATTTACTTAGCTGTAGCAGTCAGGTAGTGAGTGTACGATGACATACAAGTATGAGAAAAACATGTTCCCTGCCCTGCTGGAGTTTCTGGTCAGATAGACAGTGAGCAGATAATTAGTGTTCTGAGTGCTACGTGGCAGTAAGTATAGGGTATGGTGAGAGCCAAGTAGGGAGATTCCACATCCAGATTTGGGGATAAGGAAAAATTTCTCAGAAAAATTCAAACTGGAGTTGGCTCCTGAAGCAAGAATAACCAGGGGAATGTTGAAAGAAACTATATTCCAAGCAGATCACTCTGGAAAGGGACACTTTCCATCAGAGGCCCATGAGAGTGCAGGGACCTTACTAGGAGTTGTTGTATTTGACCGGATTCCAGAATATGGTGAAGATAAGCTGGGAGTTGGCAGGCAGGAGTCAAGTTAATTGTCCCTGGGCTTCCCTTCCTCCAGAACATATTGACTATGTAGCCAATTTTCCATGGCATCCTTTGATTTTTTTTTTCCTCCACCTGCAGCTCAAACAGAAATCCTCTTTAAGCTAGGCTGTCAATCTCCTATCAGCTTTCCTCATCTGATTATTGCTCCAAGCCTCCAACATAATGTCACAACATGCTTGAGAAAGGGCAGAAACTGGCTAGCAATAAAACAGATTCAAATTCTTAGTAATTCTCCAAACTGGAAATTTTTGTCAACCTGGAATTGGTTAGATAAAGTTAAAAAGACCATGTATAGCCAGGCAGTGGTGGTGCTCATCTTCAGTCTCAGCACTCAGAGGCAGAGGCAGGTGCATCTCTGAGTTCAAGGACAGCCTGCTCTACAGAGAGAGTTCCAGGACAGCCAGGGCTACACAGAGAAATGCTGTCTTGGGGGAAAAAAAGGGGGGGGGGGCACTTAAGAGAATATACAAAAATTTGAAAAGAAAAAAAAAATACTGCCTTACAAAGGAATACACAGGGTTTATTTATAAAGATCTAGTGTCCTTTACATGCATTCTAGGAGGTCCCAAACTCTTCATGGAAATTAAAACTTTCTTCCTGAGTCTGCTCATATGGCTCCATGTTGTTTGACTTTTCTGGGTGGGTGGCGTTGAAACAGGGTTTCTCTGTGTACCCCTGACAGTTCTGGAACTTGCTCTGTAGACCAGGCTGGCTTTAAACTCACAGAAATCTGCCTGCCTCTGCCTCTCAAGGAATGGAATTAAAGGTGTGCACCACCACTGCCTGGCAACATCTACAGTTGTTTTTTGTTTGTTTGTTTAAGTTTTGAAAAGAAAATTCAATTCAAAACAAGTGTACCCTAAGCTTCTCGGTGGTCAGGTCAGTGAGTCAGCGTGGTGAGATGAGTACCTTATGGAGAGTCTTCTCTCCAAAGAGTGACAGAGTAAGGAAGGCAAAGCATCTGGAAGTCAGGCCTGCTTTGTGACACATCTAACTCATCATTGACTCCTTTAATTACTCCATGTATCCATCAAACCAGTAAGAAGTCTTTGTCAAGTCCGGTGTGGAGTATTTATTGAAGCAGAAGTCTAACTTCTTGTCCCTGTCCTCAAGTTTACAGGGAGAAAACAGAAACTAAGCAAATAATAAAGAAGGTAGTATGAAGGGCTGAAAGTATAACTGAGTTCCTAGAGTATTTACCCTGGCATGCACAAGACCCCAGGAACACACACAGACTGAAGTACTGACAGTACAGCTACTTCCATTTATTGAGCGTCTGCTGTAGGCCATACACTAGCTCTTCAGGGAGGGTGTGTCTTCATATCATAAGTAAGAAAACAGATGATGATAAAGTTTTATCCAAAGTGCAGCTGGAGAATGGTCGGTTAGCTATTGCTGTGTATCAAACCATCCAAAACCAAGTGGCTTAAAACAATAAGCATTAATTCTTACTTTGATGACTCTGAGTTACCTGGATGGTTCTTACCGTGGCTGAGTTCATACATCTATCTGCCTGCAGTCATCTGTGGGTTAGGTGACCCTCCCAATCTTGACATTGGGTGTTAGCTGACTGTAGACTGATCTAATCTGGCCTCAGCTGAGGTCATTGGCTCATTTTCACCTCTAGTACCTGATATGTCTCACATCCCTCTAGCACTCCAGCCAGTCCTCATGGCATTGGCAGAGAGCAGGAGAGCAAGTCTTCCTATAAAGTTTCTATTTTCGAGGCTGGAAATGTAGCTCAGTGCTAGAGCAATTGCCTAGCATATAAAAGACTCTTGAGTTCGTGCCCAGTGCCCAAAACAAAACCTTACATCTTCTGTTTTCTTTATTTTATCAGCATCTCACAGGCTGGCTCAAAAGCTGAGCTCAGCATCAGAATGGAGTGGAACTATAAAATTATAGTGCAAAGGGGATAGATATCAGGCAGACCATGAATAGGAATCATTGATTCTTACCAGCTTTAATATCTAAATTGAAAAAATAAATTTAAATGATATTTTCTCTGGAAAAGGAAGATTTTTACAAAGCCAAGTATGGTGATACATGCCTGTAATCTTAGCATTTGGGAAGCAGAGGCAGAAGGAATCAGTACTTCAAGTCATCCCTGGTTACATAGTGGGTTCCAGGCCAACGTGGGCTATATGAGAACCTGTGTGTGTGAATGTATATATGTACATATATAATTATATACATACACATGTATATATGTATATTTATACATGTATATACATTTTTTTCCATGACAGGGTTTCTCTGTGTAACAGCCCTGGCTGTCCTAGAACTTGCTTTTTAGACCAGGCTGGACTCAAACTTACACAGATTCATACCTGCTTCTGCCTCCTGAGTGTGCCACCACTGCCTGGCTTATATGATTTTTTTAAAACTGTATATAAGACGGTACATGGGGCTGGAGAAATGGCTCAGCAGTTCAAGCACTGAGCACTGTCTCCTCTTGCACAGAACCCAGGTTTAGTTCTCGGCACCTGTGTGGTAGCTCACATCCATCTTTAACTCCAGTTCCAGGGCATCTGGCAGTCTCCTGACCTCCAAAGGCACCAGACACCAGGAGCATTTATGGTGTAACATTTATAAACACACAAAGAACACCTATAATCACAGCACTAGGGAGAACCTGTCTTTAAAACAAAACAAACAAAAAGCCAGCAGGGCATGGTGGTTCAAGCCTCTACTCCCAATACTAGGGAGGCAGAAGCAAAGGAAGGCAATGAGGAGGTGGAGGTTGTGGTACAGGCACACCAGGGCTGACGGGTGAAACAGAGTACTCACTGAATAGGCAACTGTGACTTGGAACTGGCTACAGATTGCTCTGCCACATTAATAGAAACCCAGCAAGGTCTCTCTGTGCTCCTGACAGGGCTCTATTATTTGTCCCTTGGCTTCATTCCTTTTGGTCAGACACAGGACAGCAGGCACTCAACAAATACTTGGAGAATTGAATTGATATCTTACTGGGAATGAGGTGTGGAATGAAACAGCTGGATTGTCAGAATAGGTCAGTGTCAACTCTGCCTAAACAGAAATCAGTATATTGGCAGTTTCTCATTCTGCAAGTGCCTCTTATGAGCCCGGTTCTTTATATGATGGTGAATAAAACACAGGACTAGCTACCAACATGCAGAGGCATCCATCATCTTAGAGCTCCACTTTAGTCTTCCTTCAAAAACTTTATTAGAAGCTGCTGCTACATAAAATCATTTCTGCTCTGAAGTTCTAGCCACCAAAAAACAGTAAAAAATTTTTCTTTGGTATTTTAAAATACTTATTCATGGTGGGTGGTGGTGGTGCATGCCTTTAATATCAGCACTCAGGAAGCAGAGGCAGGTGGATCTCTGTGAGATCAAGGCCAGCCTGGTCTACAGAGCGAGTTCCAGGACAGCTGGGGTATTTATAGAGAAACCCTGTCTTAAAAATCAAAATGGAAAAAAAGAGAGACTGGGGAAAATGTCTCAGCAGTCAAAAGCACTGGCTGCTCTTCCAAAGGACCCAGGTTCAATTCCCAGCACTTATATGATGGCTGACAAAAGCCTATAACTCCAATCCCAGGGGATCTGACCTCTAGCCTCCATAGGCACCAGACACATAACTGGTGCACAAACATGCAGGGAGGCACAACAGCCATACACATACATTTTTTAATTAAATAATTTAAAAACTAGGTACTAAAGTAGGTTGGGCTTCTGCCTAAGCTAGGTTCCTTTAGTTCTACAAAAGAAGACTGAGGGTTGCAGACATGGCTCAGTAACTGAGCTCGCCCAATGTGTGCAATGGATGTACATTCTATCTCTAACACCATAGGAAAAAGAAAAGAATAATGAGTTGTTGAATGCCTATAGATTTTCCTAAGTCAGAAGGAAACTGCTTAAGTTAATCTAGCATGGCTGAGAAAACACCTGCCAGTCAGAACAGTGAGGACCTCTACCATGTTGTTCCTACCAGCTTGATTTGCTGCTGCCCAGGGGGGTCTTCATCTCTGTCATTATTAGCTCCTGATCTCCTTTTTATTTCTTTGAGATAGTTTTGTGTAGGCCAATGGTAGCTTCAAACTTGCTCTGTAGTTAACAGTGACTTTTAAAACTCCTGATCTTTATGCTTCTATCTCCCAAGTATTAGGATTATAAATGTAACCCACCATAGTCACTTTGGTTTTCAAGAAAGGATCTTACTATGTAGCCCAGGCTGGCCTTGAACTTGAGATCCTGTCTTAGCCTCCCTCCCAAGTGGGAAGGATACCAACTAGTGCAAAACTAAGCTCTTCCTTCTTAGTCATGACTTCTGTCAGTTTCTTCTCCCACTACTCCTTGGCTTCCTCTTCCCAGGATGGTCTGTCTCCAGTAATGAAGATGGCGATTCCCAAATAGAGATCAGCATCTCCTCCTTTCAGTTGTTTTGTTTTGCTTTTTGAGATTGGGTCTTTCTATGTAATCCTGGAGATGACTATGTACACTAGGGTAGCCTCGAACTCATACAGATTAAAAGAGTGGTGGTATTTAAAAAAAAAAAAAAGTGCTGGGATTAAAAAAGCATGCCATTACCCTGACTTAGATTCTTTTCTCCTGTGTAGTTGGTAACCCACTCCAGGTCTTCCATACCGTCATTGAGCTTTAATGGCTTTTTGGAAGCCACTCCAGGCCACTAGTCTCAGCCTTCAACTTTCTGCATCTTCATCACATCCTTCCTGTGGACTTGGTATCTAAAAGATTCAGGTCTTCCTAATGAATAATCCATGTCCATGAGCACAGTCAAACACTTGACAGAATTCAGATGCTGGGTGACTCAGGCTGACATGTCCCAAAAGGTCAGTTATGACTACTACTTTCATTGCTGATGAAAAGTCTCATGTAGCCCAGTCTGCTCTCAAATTTACTACATTGCTGGGCATGACCTTGACTCCTGATAACCTTGCCTCTACTTCCTAAATGCTGAGTTACAGGTGTGTGGCACTTCACCCAGAAGACTGCTAATTTTTAGGGCAAGATACTCCTTTTCTTTTTTTTCTTGGCTTTTTGAGACAGCATTTCTTTATATAGCCCTGGCTGTCTTGGAACTCTTTGTAGACCATGCTAGCCTCTAATTCACATAGATCCCCATGCCTCTGCCTCCCAAGTGCTGGGACCAAAGGCATCCATCACTATGCCCAGCTTAAGATGCTCTCTTTTTATTCCTCCAAATCATAAATTACCAAAAAAGGACTTTACTTGCACTGCATTTATTAAGCCTCAGCTGAAATCAGGTCCTTCGTAGGTTTTACTGTTGTTAAGGCAGGATTTCATTATATATAACACAGCAGACCTTGACTTTATGACTCTCCTACCTCAGCCTCCAGTGTTCACCAGCCTCCAGCATTCCCAGCTTTATCGTTGCATTCTTAACTATGTCCTTTATTTTTTGTTGTTGCTTTGTTTTGTCTGGTTGTTTTTGAGAGTTGCTCAAGCTGACCTCAAACTCACAATCTTCCTGCCTTAGTGTCCTAAGTGCTAAGACTACAGATATGTCTCTGGGCTTTGGCCTCTAACAAAATTTAATTTGAACAGTGCTTGCTAATTTCATCGTCTCTGCACACAGGCTAATTTCTTCTTTGATTCCTATGATGAGTACTACATATTCCCACTTTCCTTTGTCCTTTGGCTGCCAGGAATGTAATAACTAAGTCCTGAGGTCTCTGATACATTTCATCTTTTAACCTAGTTAGTTTTTGTTTGTTTGTTCGTTCTGCTTTTAGAAACAGGGTTTCTCTCTGTAGTCCTGGCTGGCCTGGAAATTGCTCTGTAGACCAGGCTGGCCTCAAACTTAGAGATCAGCTTATCTTCCAAATGCTGTGACTAAAAGTGGGTGCCACCACACCCAGCTGTTGTCTTTTTTTTTTTTTCTGTATCAGTATTGTCCAGTTTGGTGACCACTATTCTTATGTGACAATTAAGCACCTGACTCAACAGGTAGCTAGTTCATCTTGGGATGGGCTCTAAAATAGCTCAGTAATTCCTAATATTGATTGCATGTTAAATATTTTGGATATGCTAAGTTAAATATTAGGATTAACCTCACCCATTTCATGTTGCTGAAATTATAGCTCCTAAAATTATCTATTTATTTACTTATTTATCTGTGTGGACAAGTATATGGAAGTCAGAAGACAATTTTATGGTGTTGATTCTCTCCTATTATATGTTCAGGTTGCCAGCCTTGTGCAGCAAGTGCCTTTACCTGCTGAGCCTTCTCATTAGTCCATATAGTTCTAACATCTTGAAATTATGTATCTAAAAAACCAGGCTTGCATTTGTGACTTGCATCCTCTCTGCTGGACTGCTAGCACTGCTCTACAAGGCATCCTGCTTTGTGAGCTTATGTTATTGCTATAAACCTCATCCTTTGGGAAAGCGAGGAAGGCAGGCAGAGGAAGTGACAGCAGGGGCTGGAGTGAAAAGAAGTCTAGCCTAGAGACTTGTCTTGTCTACTTGCTTTTTGTTTATGCAATTCATACACACATAACAAACAACCTTTGCTACAGTGTTTCTCGGCTATCTTCATTCCAGGTGAGTAGCATTCAACAGCTCTTCCTAGTCTCCAGGAAAAACCTGTTCTCAGGTTACTTTACCTAACATATTGGAAAGGATTGGATAAGACACGTCACTCATTTCAAATGACTGATAACTTTGTGTTCACCTCTCTCTGGGGGTGTTTCCATTTTAACAGGGAACAATCCCTGAACCCAATGGAATGAATCCCTAATGGTGGAGTTTCAGGCTTCAGTGACAGGTGAGTGAGGGTAGACTCTGGTTTTCTGTTTATATGTGTTGTTACATCCAAGATGTGACTGGAAGTAGGGTTCTCAGATGTAAAGGGCTAATGGACAAGCTGCACAGAGAAGGAAGGTAGCAAATCTCTAGTTGTGTTAGAAAGGGAAGGACTCAGACACCAACCAGATTCAGTGCATGCCTTCAAGGGTTTGTTAAGTAATAGAATAGTGCAGCTGATGTCAACAGAGACTAGGCAGCAAGACAGTCTCCATGGTGACTACTGTGCAGTAGCAAGAGGGCTCTCAGTAGGATTCCAGAGACTATGACTGCTGTCCACAACTGACTCGGCTTAACTCTGGGCAAGTCCTTTACCCTTTGGGTCTCAGTTTCTTCATCTGGAAAATAGAAATAGGTGCTATAGTCATGTGATGGTGCATACCTATAATCCCAGCACTCAGGAGGCTGCGGAAGGTGGATCATTAGTTTGAGGCTAGCCTGGGCTACATCAGACCCTATGTCAATAAAACAAAACAAAAATCCCCATAAGGAATGGGTGCTATAACTATCAGATAAGTTCTAAGTGTCATGAAGTTGCTCTGAGAAAAAATATACTACACATGAAAGGACCAGTACCTTAAAATGGAAATGCAGCTAGGTAGGCCTAGAGTTGTAGAGTAGAAAGCAGTGTGCAGGGCTGTGGGGAATCCTGAAGGTAGACATTCCATATACGGAACGTTCTTCTCTGTCCTCCAGGCTGAACCCAGACTCCCAGGGCCCATGCTTCCACCTGATGAATGATGGCCTGAACTATGAGCAAACGGGACTATATGAACACTTCGGTGCAGGAGCCTCCTCTTGACTACTCCTTCAAAAGCATCCACGTGATCCAAGGTCAGTCCACAGGGCATAGCATCAACATACCATGCTATCAACTAGGAAGTACCTAGGAAGAATCCCAGTTTTCGGTTTAAAACGCCTAAACAGATTTTTCCCCAACTTCTTGTTGTCTCTGAAGGGAGAGGGTGAAGTGAGGATTTTTTGTTATTTTACAGGACTAAGGAGTGAATGTAAGGACCTTACATGTAGGGCAAATGCTCTATATCTGAGCTTTATCCTCAGCCTTGAGATTAAGAAATACGTATTTTAACTTCATGTATATGGGTGTTTTGCCTGCATGTATGTCTGCACCCCTTGATGCCTGGTGCAGGCAGAGGTCAAAAGTGGGCATCAGTCCCCCTGAACCTGAGTTAGAGATGGCAGTGAGCCTCCATGAAGGTGCTGGGAATTCGACTGGGTCCTCTGGAAGAGCTGCCAGTGCTCTTAACTGCTGCACTATCTCTTCCAGCTCCCTTGAGATTTTATTTTTATTTATGTATATGAATGCTTTTCCTAAATGTATGTATGAGCCCACATGCATGCCTGGTGCCCAAGGAAGGCTTCAGATTCCCTAGAACTGGAGTTAGGGACTGTTGTGAGCCATCATGTGGATACTGCAAATCAAACCCTGGTGTTCTGCAAAAGCAACAAGTGCTCTTTTGCTTTTGTTTTGTTTTGTTTCGAGACAGGGTTTCTCTGTGTAATTTTGGTGCCTGTCTTGGATCTCGCTCTGTAGACCAGGCTGGCCTTGAACTCACAGAAATTGGCCTGGCTCTGCCTCTCAGAGTGCTGGGATTAAAGGTGTGTGCCACCACTGCCCATCAGCAACATGTGCTCTTAACCACTCACCAGCCCCTAGTTTCTAAAAGCAGCAAATTGGAAAGGAACCAGTCGTCTCTTGTGGTAGCTGACCTGTCTTCAAGAGCAGCCAGGCTATAGCAGGAAATTCCTGAAGAATACTAAGAGAAATAGGCTGCTGCCAGGTTCTACCATGGTGGTAAAACCTTGTCTTTTTTGTCTAGGAACATAGGCCTGTTCTGCTCATTGGTAAAACATGAGGTCTTTTTTGCAACAAACTGACATATTCCCAGTTAGCATTCTTGACAGACTTCTTCCATTCATTCCATACATGCCAGATTTATGCCATCATCACTAACATTCACTGTAGTTCCAGCTCTGCCCGCATCCAGTCTGTTTTACTATTCAGTGTCTTCCTAAATAGGCAGCTAACCCCTTTCACGGTGCATGATGAAACTTTCACAGTACTACATGCTCAAGTAGGCAGTTCTGCCACCTCTGCCTTTGGCTACTGTCCTCACAGAACACGTGTACAAACTCACAATCTCAGATATATTATCTGGCTTTGGTTTTCTGTCAGGTAGCCACCCATTAGCTCAAGAGTGTTACTAGCCTGGGTTTTGGTTCAGGGCACTACTTCAGTTAGTGTCCAACACACTAGTAACTCATGTCTGTCTCTCCCCAGCACATGCTCGTCTACCATGACCTTGTGCTTTTTCTGACTGATGTAATACATATTTCAAAAGGGTTTTAGTTGCAATAATAGCTTTGTGTATGAAAGCCAAAGTGATTGGGGAGTGGAATGTAATGGCTCCTACTGTAGCATAGAAATTTCCAGCATTCAGTACGAAGATCTGATGCTGCTCCTTGTGGACTCCTCAGAATAAGGAAATACACTAGTCAGTTCTACCCAAGGTACCTGTACAGCACAAAATAGAATTTGCAGATGCTACACACTCCATCCAGCTGTTCAGAATTTACTGAGCATCTATTATTATTATTATTATTATTATTATTATTATTATTATTATTATTATTGGTTTTTTTGAGACAAAGTTTCTCTGTGTAACAGCTATGGTTGTCCCGGAACTCACTCTGTAGACCAGGCTGGCCTTGATCTCACAGAGATCCACCTGCCTCTGCCTCCCAAGTGCTGGGATTAAACGGGTAAGCCACCACCACCTAGCCGAACTCCTATTATTTTTTAAGCAGTTATTTACATATATATGCAGACATATATATACCAGGCAATTGAACTCCTTGCTAAATCTGTTAAGGGGTGGCAGAGGGAAAGACATATTAAATAAACACAGAGCCCTTTCTGTTCCCTAGAGCTTCAAAATTTAGAAGTTAAAGAAGGATAGAGTTGAGGGCTTCTTGGGACAGTATTTGCTGAATTAATCAACATTTATCACAGAATCTGAGACACCAGTGACTTTACATCTAGTTTGGACTCCCTGATCAGGCAGCAGCTTCAGGAGTGTCACCAGACCTAGGCTCATCCCATGCACAACCAGCAGCTTGCTACGTATGCTCACAAACACAGCACTAAGGGCGTCCTCTGTGTGAAACTGCCAGTTCCTTCCACTGTGGACACTAACAGACGATGACGCTAAAAGTTCTTCTATCAAACTGACTCCTGACTTCCAGGCATGTGAGAAAACATTGCATGGTAACACACTAGAATTTAGGTAGAGGATCAAGGATTCCCTGCAGTTGGTGCCTCCCAATTTTAATTCTGTTAGTGCTGGTATTTATGGTCTAGTTTCCAGACCTACTCTGAACTAGGAACCTTTTAACACATGCTCAAGTAACATGCTACCTTAATATAGCCTGAAAGGATGGGTACCTATAACAATTTTAGATGCCCCCTTTTACCCTAGGTAACAAGAGCTCAGGCTTCCTCATATTAAGGCAACTCCATCCAGAGGCTCCTTCACAGCGTGGGACCAGCCTTTTATGTGACATTAAAGCTTCTGCATTATCAGAATAGGTGCTAGTTCATGTGTAGTTATTCTGACATTATTATTCATCTAAATCAACTTTTAAAGTTTTTGGAAGGTGTGAGAGGGAGACGTGATTTGGAGTTTACTCATGGACAGAAGTACTCTGCTCCATTATCCTTATACCCCCTCTGCCCGCCAGGGCTCAATCTTGGGTCCTGTTCATTTCAAGACTAACACAGAGAGCCACCTGGAGGATGCTGTCTGACCTGCAACTGAGAGGAAGTGATCAGCTGCTGTGTGCAGAGTGCACTAAGTGCTTTCTCCCTATAGGCCACTTAGGACTTGCTAAAGGCTTGGAGACAGTAGGGAAATGGAAACCACTTTAACTAAACTGCAGTCTGGCTCTGGGTCTCCCACTGATGCCATCTTGGGCAGAGTCCACCCACCTTCATTATGAATCTCATTTGAAAAAGAAGCAAGGGAGGAATGTGTGTGTGTGTTTTCTCTGCACCCTCCTTTTCCAATGTGGGTATTCAGGCTACCTGCTTGCACTTCTATTCATTTTCACTCCAATTTGGTTTCTGTCCTCAAGCCTTTACGTGGCGGTAGCACACGCCTTTAATCCCAGCACTCAGGAGGCAGAGCCAGGCAGATCTCTGTTAGTTTGAGGCCAGCCTAGTCTACAGAGCAAGATTCAGGACAGGCTCCAAAACTACACAGAGACAGGTTTGTCTGGGGGTGGGGGGTGGGGGGAAGTAGCTGGTAACCATGTAAAAGGCTTGAGGACAGAAGCCAGGAGTGAAAATGAATAGGAAGTACAAGCAGGTTAGCCTGATGGTTACCAGCTACTTCTGAGCACCAGGGTTAGTGTTGAATCCTTGTCTTTCCTGGAACTTACTCCTCCATATACTGTAGACTCTCCAAACACCTTTAAACTCAGGGGCTTGAGGGATGGCTTAGCAGGTAAGAGCACTGGCTGCCCTCCCAAAGAACCTGGGTTTGATTCCCAGCACCCACAAGACTCACAACCATCTGGAATTCTAGTTCTTGGGGATCTGATGACCTCTTCTGACCTTACTAGGCATGGCACACATACATGCAGGCAAAATACCCAATACATAAAAATTTAATTAAAAATAAATAAACTGTTCTCTCCTGTATCTCCCTGTTCTTCAGATTATTTACTAACTTTTTATGTCTTTCTCTTCCTCTCAGGATTTGCCTGTTTCTCTAATTTATATACTCTGTACTAAAAGTTTGTAAAGCTGTCTCCTCGGTTTTAGACCTTTATTCTAATGCCTACCTGCCTCGTTGGCTTCTCTTGCCTTTTCATACAACAGGAACCTCTAACACACTAAATCCGAACCTAAACTCATTACCTCTTCAATCCACTTTCTCCTGAAATTCTTCATCAGCTAACAGAACCTAAACAAAAAGCTGGGCACCATCTTTATATAGCCTTCTACCCTTACATTTAGTCAGCCAAATCATAATTGCTATGTCCATCTTGTCTCATGCTAAAGTAGACAAACTGATCTTTGAATTCTACCTACCTTCTAAATCTATCTTCTATATTGAAGCTTCAAAGTAACCTTTCAAGTGAAAAGCAGAATTATCTGGTGAGTTTTCTTTTCTTTCTTTTTATGTGCATTGATGTTTTGTCTGCATTTATATCTGTGCAAGGGTGTCAGATCCCCTGAAACTGGAGTCACAGGAGTTGTGAGCTACCATGTGGATACTGGGCATTGAACCCAGGTCCTGTGGAGAAGCAGCCAGTGCTCTTAACCAACGGGCCATTTCTTCAGCCCTCTGGTGATTTTTTTTTTTTTTTTTTTTTTTTGTTCTTCCTTGTTTTTTTGAGACAGGGTTTCTCTATATAGCCCTTGCTTTTATGGAACTCACTTTATAAACCAGGCTGGTCTTGAACTCTTGAGATCCATCTCCCAAATGCTCGGATTAAAGGTGTGTGCCACCACCGCCTAGCTGAATTACCTCTGTTTTAAACACTCTGTGACTTGTCATTACCTACAGGACAAAGCCCAAGATCTTAGCCTCGAATTTAGGACTAAAGACTGGCTCCTGTCTGCTTTTTTTCTACTTGTGCCCTGTGTGTGGTACTGGTGGACACATGTCTCCATCCTGCTCTCTTCTTGTACCTTTGCTCATGTGCTCATCCCTTCTCCCTCCTTTGCCGGGTTAACGTCTCCTAATCTACCAAGTTCAGTTCACATTCCGCCTTGCCTGCGCTCTCAGGGCACCGAGACCTTCCCTTGCTGTGATGACTGTGGACTGTCACACAAAACTCACTGCCAGTTTGTTTCCATCCTGCCCACAGAAATTCCTCTGAGAGATACACGCTTCATCCCCACCCTACTACTCATCCAGAGCCTGGCACATTCTCTCTCCTTGTTTACTACTGTGTATCTATCTGATAAAGCTTGTAATTAATGGAGGAAAGGAAGGACACTGGATGTGCTCCACTGAAGTGAATTCTGTAAGCTATTGTATTATACTAGAAGAGGATTCTGCACTTTGTGATATCATCTTGGTCTACCCAACAACTCTGGTTCTTACTTCCCTTATCTGTGAAATGGGAAAAAGTCTGCTCCACTAATGGGTGATATACATGGAATCCAATAATGCAATAGACACGAAAAGGCCATCTGACCTAAAATTCTTTAGCCCTTACTCCAAACTTACTCTGATCTTTGGAGCTTGAGACAGGGTCTCACTAGACTCTAGTGCTGGGGCCCTGCCAAAGCCTCCAAGTAGCTCTTGAATATTCATCTTTCCAGCTCTTCCTTCTCACTCCCTAGAGGCAGAAAAGCAACAATGATGAGCCCAAGCCTTGGGCTAGTGATGGCTTGGAGGTTAAGAGCAGTTGGTGTTCCTACATAGGCACCAAGTTCAATTCCTAATGCTCACATGGTGGCTCACAACCACCCCTAACTCCAGTTCTAGGGGATCTCACACACTCTTCTGACTTCTGCAGACACCAGGCATGCACATGGTGTACATACATACAGGTAAACCATTCATACAAATAAAAGTTAAAAATCTAAATAAACAAACAAACAAACTCAAGTCGTATTTTGTTGTCATAGATCTGGTAAGCGAGGAGCCAAGGACAGGTCTACGACCAGTGAAGCACTCAAAGTCAGGAAAATCACTGACCCAGTCCCTGTGGCTCAACAACAATGTCCTCAACGACCTGAAAGACTTCAGCCAGGTGGTTACACAGCTTCTGCAGCACCCAGAGAACCTGGCCTGGATCGACCTCTCCTTCAATGACCTGACTTCCATTGACCCTGTGAGTTCCTAGCCCTGGACATCTAGTCAAGGGCTAGCTTGAAGCCACTGTGTCCTTATCAAGGAAGCAGAGGCAATGTGGTACAGTTCAAAGGACATTGTTGCAGAGATACATAGTTGTAGGCACAAATCTTTAGTTTCCCCCTTATTATGTGACTGTACATAACTTCTTCGTTTTGTTTTTTGAGACAGTCTCACTATGTATCCCTAGTTGGCCTGTAACTCACTGACCTTTACTTAGGGAGATCCACCTGCCTCTGAGAGTCTCACAAGCTACATAGTTTCTTTTCTTTTTCTTTTTTTTTTTTTTTAAGATTTATTTACTAATTTATTTATTTATTATGTATACCGTGTTCTGTCTGCACGTATCCCTGCAGGCCAGAAGAATGCACCAGGTCTCACTACAGATGGTTGTGAGCCACCATGTGGTTGCTGGGAATTGAACTCATGACCTCTGGAAAAGCAGCCAAGAGCAGCCTGTGCTCTTAACCTCTGAGCCATCTCTCCAGCCCCACTACATAGTTTCTTAAAACTTCAGCCTTCCTATAAATGGGGATAAGATGCCATATTCATAATGGTTTTATAAGGATTCAGTGAAAATGTGTGAGAACCACCTTGCCTATCAGTGGCTGGAGCAAGCCTATAGCAGTCGTCACTAGGACTCAACTGTGCTTTAGGCTGAGCTCCACTGAAGAGGAAGCAGTGGAAAAGGACATCAGTTGTTTTCTGTGAAATCTAAGTTTTAAAAACATAGTTTGGCCAAGTATGCTGGTGCTTGTTTGTAATTCTAGCACTTGGAAGGTAGAGGTAGGAAGATGAGTTCAAGGTCATCCTCAGCTCATAGTGAGCTTGAGGCCTGCCTGGACTACATGAGAAAGGATAAGGAAGAGAAGGAAAGAAGATAGAAAAGGAAGCAAACAAGGAAGAAAGAATTTAGAAAAAGGAAAGATCTGGAGCATGACTTGGAGACTGTTCCTCTGCAATATGCAATAAGAACTCAACTAGGATCTTCAAAGCTTATATGCTGAGCATTGATACTCCCCTGTAGGCTTGGAACAATGAGTCATCACAGTTGGAGAGGCCTTAAGGGGCAAATAAGTCTTAAGTTTTAAGGAGAAGGAAAGCTGTCACCTGACCGGTCAAATAGATATCTAGATGGATGCCAGCTCTATTTTAGGTTTTGTCCTCCTGTTAAGAGCATTTGTTGCTCTTGCAAGAGGACCCAAGTTCAGTTCCTAGCACATACATGGTGGTTGACAACCATCCATATAACTCCAGTTTCACCAGGCTCTTGTATGGGGCACAGACGTACATGCAGACAAACACTTATGCACATAAAATAAGGCCTAGAAAGATGACTCAGCAGTTAAGAGCATTTGTTGCCCTTCCAAGGACCTGGGTTCAATTCTTAGCACCCACACGGTGGCTCACAACTGCCTGTAAATCAGGGTTCAGGGAATCCAATGGCCTCCGCAAGCACTAGGCATGCATGTGGTATACATCCATACATGTAGGCAAAATACCCATACACATAAAAGAATAATTATTTTTTAAGTAACAAAAAACTAGAGTAACAAATACTAGAGTCATCTAGAATGCCATGAGGGGTGCTGAGAGGGGCCAAGTTGTTCTCCTGACTTGTCTCCAGACTCCAGATAGTCTATCTGAGCACAGATCCAGAGTCTTTTTTTTTCTTTTTTCTTTTTTTTTTTTT